GCAAGCCCCGCCCCCTCGCTCGCCCCGCCCTCTCCTGCCGGGCCGCGCGGGCCGGGGAAAAGGGGCGGAGAGCGCCGGACATCAAAGGGCGGGAGTAGCTTCCGCTCCAGTCCTAGGCTGGATGGGGCCAAGTGCCAAAGCCCAGAAGAAATTTGAGGATTGGACGAAGGAAAAGCCAATGAAAGGGGGAGGGGAGAATTTGGAAAGGTAGGTGCAGTGTTTGATTGACAGTGGGATTGGCCAGTATGCTGGGCGGCCGTGCTTTAGGGGTTGTAATTGGCGCTACCTGTTGAAGGACGCAAGTGTGAATCAATAGAATGCCTGGAAGCGTGCGAACTTGGGCTCGCGGAGCCCCAGGCGTTCGGAAGGTGTTCCCTAGGTCTGGCTCTGGACAATATTGTGCATCTGACAAGTGTTTTTGCAGTTTATCACCTTTTTGAGCCTCATCCCGCTCTCCAGGTTCATCTGTTGGCTTCCCTCGCTGCCCTGCTACCTGTGCAGTCGTGTAACGGGTCTGCCAGAGGGAACTGTATTTCAATACCGCTTTGGTATATACTATATGGCCTTACAGAAACTAAGGAATTAATTGTTCACCTTGTTCCCTATAATACGTTTCCCCATTTTCACATGTACCAAGATTTAAAAAAACAGACTTCACAGTAAACGGTGTCAAGAATATATTTTAAGGTTTGTCTATGAGTCACAGTGATCACTTTAAAAGATGCACTGTTCGTTGCAGGATTTTTTTTTTTTTAACAGCATCAGGATAGAAAGATTTTGATCTAAGCCCCGACTTGCTACTGAATTGGGGAAATTTTGTACAATTTCTTAGCCTATGAAAATAAAGGGCAGCTCAGAGAGCTCTAGCTGTACACTTCAATCTGGGTAAAACAACAATCATACCAAATATTCTTACATTTTAGAAACCTAGAGTTGTAACTGGCGAGATGAGACCTCCGTTCTTATCTTCTTGAAGGAGTGATTTCAATCAAGAGATAAAGTGCAGCAAAGCAAGCAAGAATGTATTGGCCGCAGTAAAAAACACTTAGGACAGTGAAACAAGGAAGGGCATAGAAGCAGCAGCAGGAGAACCTAGGTTCAGGGGATTTGCCTAGGACCAGTTGCCGCTGCCCATTGCTCCTCAAGTTGCAAGTCTCCTGGGGTCTCTTAGAGGGAAGAAGCGGGAGAAGAGAATGGTGTGGGTGTGCTCCCCTGGCAGAAACCAGAAAGCGGGCTCTGGGTCCTTTGTGTTGAGGGTATTTCTCTTTCTCTCTTGTGCTGGGGTCCAGCCCCAGCAGGTCCAGGGGTTCCCCATAGGTGTGGACGGAGTCGGCGAAGAGGGAATGACACAGAGACAGTGTTCAGTT